AATAGACATATCAGTTATATTTAAAGTATTTAAAGCGTTTTGGCAGTGAAACTCATTTTCCAACTTCCTCCTAAATTGATTTTTGGTTCCGTGCCATTATGTATGGCCTCACATATATTACAGATGTGATGCAGTTGTCTTGTTTGTAAAGTTACTGAAGAAATCAGAGGATTGTACTTCACTACTACACTCAAAAAAAGGGTCTTTAGGGGTCTTTTTAAGGGGTCTTTATCTTTCCTGCTGGTGGAACCCATGAAGGTTCTTCTCTGATATGAAAATTGCTCCGGGGTTCTCTGCTGATCCTGATCTTTGAGGAGGGTTAAATAAAGAACCCCTTAAAGATACAGTGGTACCTCGACTTACGACTGTAATTTGTTCCATAAGAGCGGTCGTATATTGAAATGGTCGTATGTGGAAGCGATTTTTCCCATATAAATTAAAGGTAACTAATCTAATTCATTCCGCGCACCTAAACATAATAAATTTACTTCTCAACTTAAATCCAATAGTTTTGGCCACATCTTAGTCAGGATGCTAACGCCCTTCGAAACATCAGCCTTCTTGAACTCTTCCTCTTCTTAAGGATGGTTGCGATGGTGGAAGACGTGCGGCCATATTCATGAGCGAGTTGAGTCACACAAACACCACGCTCATATTTTTCTATTACTTCCTTCTTAGGTTCAATGGGAATCAGTTCCTTCTTTTTTCCCATCTTCCTTCTTCTTCGGACTCATTATGAAGGGTGAAAATATACAAAATACACAAAATTACTATGCACAAACACAGTAGAATACCAAAAAGGAAATTGATGTAACAAAGTACGTGCGCACAGGAGTAAGGTTTGCTCCTGACTGAGAACGAAATTGGCTGCCGACTCGCCAGCTGCCCAGGAAATGTCTGCTGCGGTACGGTCGTATCCGGGAGCAGCTAGTCCTAAGCAGATACAAATTTTCGTGACTATCGCCACTCGAATCTTGGAATAGTCGTATGTAGATGCAGTCGTAAGTCGAGGTACCACTGTATCTGTACCTAAGGGTTCCTCCAGCAGGACATGTGAAGAACCTTTAAATGTGCTGGAAAGAACTTTTTCTAGTAAGAGTGTAGTTCTGTGAAATCCCTCATCACCTCTCTCAGCTTCCACTTCATGAGTTAAATTAGGGGGAAGTTTAGCTTGAGCAGGCCTGTAACACTGAACATTTTACTGAGTACTGTATTCAGAGCAAAATTACCACTCAACAGGGAATCAAAGACATGTGATAAAAATGTAGTGACATCCATTAAAGTGCATGCTGTTTACAGCCTTACGATCATGTTTTTTCACACAAAAGTAAGTCTTTCCGAAGTTCTGCTGGTAATGTGTATGTTGTCAAAAGAATGAGTGCTAGGTAAAGAGTGACAGTAGACACCAAGCAGACAAACATATTGCATATGTGAAAGGTTGTCATTCCATTATTAGTCATTAGTAATGCTATTTTCCAAATTACAGTAATAACTCATTATTCATTATTGCTTTTTGCCTGATCTTTGTTTATGTACTTCTGTTGGTCGATGTAGATGAGACTCTTTTGAATGGCTGGATGTAAATACAGGTTTTTATCCAGCCGATTCACAGTCAGAGCTGGCACTTCTGTCATTTGGCTCCAGCCGTCAGGTTTCTGAGGACTGTTTTGGGTTTTCTGTTTTTTTATTTTTATTTTTTTTCTCTGGCCTGCTTTTTTCCCATAATCCTCTGCACCCCACGCCAATCTGTTTACACGTTTTTATTTGTTTACGCTATTCAGGGTTCAGCAGCGGCGGGACTGGTCGCTGGGGGAGATTTGATGCTGATGGAGCATTTGAAGGTTGTCGCGGTAACGCGCGGGCAGTGGTGCGTTGTGTGGCAGGCTGCCATTCCCCGGCCCGCCGTGTGGCTGCCGCTCCTGTGGCGCTGTGCCGTAATCTGGAATGCAGATTAACAAACGTGCCACTAAAGTTTGTGCAGCCAGTGCACATGCACACACACACACACACACACATGCATACACACTCGTGTGCACACACACATGCACACACACACATACACACACATGCTCACACACTTGCTTGTACACACACGTACACACATGCACACACACATATGCATGCGCACTTGTGTGCAAACACACATGCAAACACACACATGCACACACATGTGCACACACACACAAGCATGCATGAGAATATCCACGCATACACTCACAAACACACGCACACACATATGCATGTGCACTCGTGTGCACGCACACACATACACACTCACGTGCATGCATGAGAATATCCACGCATACACTCAGAAACACACACAATCGTAAGCACACACACATGCAAGCAGACACACAAACACACACATATGCATGTAAATATTCTCACATACACCTGCAACCATGTATACACACAAACACAAACCCATACACTTACACACACCCTTCACACACAAAGAAACTCTCCTGTTTCCTAAAGCAGGCCATGCTCTTCTAACAGCTGAATTTAAGCAAGCTGTGTCTCCTCTGGCAGCTGCTCCAGGACCCCATTACGTTTCATAGTGCAGGATAGCACTGTTCATAAGGCAGGATATTTTTAAGCTACAAAGCCCCAACCATTGCCAAGAGATTTACCCTTCCCTCAGGAGGAGATAAATGTTTAAAAAGTCAACATGATTTGGACACAGCGGCACATGTGTGTATTCAACAGATACGAATGGTCGCGTGTCCTTCTCTCCCTTATAGTTCAGAGAACGCTGCGTACTGCGTGCGACCATGACAGTGCAGCAAGGTGGTGCAGTGCACTTAATGGCCACCAGGTGTCACTGTTGTGCCACTGAAGCCACTGCATCCTTACAACCTTAGAGCCAGAGAGACAGAGGAGAGAGAGAGAGAGCGAGAGAGAGAGGAGGCCTAAAGCAAACAGTGGCTCTACTGCAGTACTGCCTCTTCTCTCCCCCCCAGCAGCGCCTCGTTCCCCCTTCGCTCTACGCCTCCAAGACAAGCCTCAGTCGCTGTTTAATTGCTAAAATTGCTCCTCACCCTCATTAGGAACTTTGACATTGGCTAGCACTGGTGAGACAGAGTGTGGCGGGGGTGGGGGTTGGAAGGGGGGGGGGGGGGTTGTGGTTGATGTCACCGATGCCCCATTGACGTGTTTGCCCTTCTTTTCAGCTGCCACATTTTCATATCTAAAGCATGGCAGTTTCACATACACGCATACACAATACATATGTCAGCTGAGTGCACAAAATGACTGCGTTCCATTCTACTCTCCATGTATTCGGATGCCACCTGACCAAGGGTGCAGCTTATCCTCCTGGCATTTCCGGCACGACTTTGCGCAGGGGGAACTACCCAAGTGTTCAACAGTCCCTGCTGTTACAGAGCAGGAAGAGAGAGAGAGAGAGAGAGAGTGAGAGAGAGAGAGAGAGAACAGACAGAAAACAAGGCGCTTGAAATGTGAAAGAATAAGATTGTGCGATAGCATCACCATCTATCATGTGTACCAAAGTTAACTTAATATCCGCACTGTTTCCACAATTGATATGTGCTCCTGCAGCACGAATACATGCTGTTCCTTCTGAACTCAGTACATCCAGATAAGAACCATACCTGGCCCGAAAGCTTTATTTGAAATACTTTAACCCCACGGAAACCATCACATTTCCAGACGTTTTCTCATTAAAAAAAATAATTTATTTTCACCAATATTTAGAATAGAATTATACTATCCTTCGTATGTTTTGGTTGAAAATATTTTATTGGGAGTTCTCAGGTATCTCGGGTATTATACAATTCTCCAAAGAGTCAAACTATTTCAAATATGTCTGTAACAACGAGCCTTGTATGAATTAGGTGGTTTGAAAATAAATCTTGCCACGATCCATCCATCAAGAATCCACTGAATATCAGTGAATAAAATGATAAATTGAAAAAATAAATGAAAGGGGAATCCCGGCTGCGGCCTGACAGAGCTCTCTTCAGGGAGCAGTGTGTATTCATAAGGGAAGTCCATCACATTTACTCTGTAGGATGCACAGGCTTTTAGTGTCATGTCACTCTCTTTGGTTGTTTGGGTCATGAGTGAAATATTAATGGATATTGTAAGGGCAAAAACAATATTTTATTTTATAGTCTGGCTCATGTGAAAGAGTCCATGATGGAAGTTATTTTTCCTTTTTCTGTTCTTCAGAAACCTCCATGGAGATGTCCTCACAGGAGAGAAGACTCTGAAGCTTCAAGAAGGTGATTGTTTTTTTCTTGCTCTCTGGAGAGGTGTGTGGGTTTCCTGTCACCGGCGCACCGGGGTCCGAGGGGTGTGGGGGCGGGCGGGGAGAAGGGAGGGTGCTGTCTGTGTGGTGACACATTGGGACCTAAGCCGGAGCTAAACGGTTGATTTGGGCTGATATGAGACGGTTCACAGGCCTCTGGCAGCCAGTGGCATTTATGAGGACAGACAGTCTGTGGAGAAGCCAGGAGAGCCCCTAACATATGCTTCAAGTTCATTGTTTTTACCTGAACAATTTCCTGTATTTTTGTCTCCCCTCAAACTTGATTTTTGCATCATTGCATCATTTTTTGCTCTGGAGGACATGAGAAAGGTGAAATCACAGGCATTTTTACAGCACACACATCGGGTGTAACGGGGGTCACCAGTCTTATCTGGGGAGGGCCGCTGTGGGTGTCTGCTTTTGTTCTGGGCCGGCACTGAAGCGCCTGACTCAGCGGAATCGGGGTGTTGATTGAAGAGCTTCTCCCACACTGGCCTCTCATGGAAAGAGATCTGGGACTCCTGCACCTGAGAGGTACACTCACATCAGCACAGCGTTATACCCCAGCAGTGCAACGGGCAAGAGCAGGACCACAGAGTGAAATAAGGACATTCAGACGTGAACTATGAAAAACACACATGACGGCAAACTGCCACTTCATACATGTATCATGTGTACAGGCAATGTAATACCATGTTATAACAATGCTATAACAGTGTCATAACAGGGCAGCCCTGTAGTATAATGGATATGGCTCTGATGCTTCCATCTCAGAGGTGGTGAGTTCGATTCCCACTGCTGTCATACCCTGGATCAAAGCAAGGTACTTCAGCCCGAATTGCTTCAGTAAATATCCAGCTTTATAAACGGATACTGTGTAGAAATGTGTCTTGTGTGTGCCTCTCTGGATAAGATGATCTGCTAAATATAAATGCACAGTACCCGATGCTGGGGGCCCCTGGCTCTATGGAGCACAGGTGCCTGCTTGCCACTGAGTGTGTAGCGTCCCAGCTGCAGATTTACTGGCTGTGCAGGAGGCCTGCATTAGCGAGACAACATCTGGCTATTTGAAGCCACCGGTCTCATTGCTCTCTAGCGGCCACTACTGGCTGGCTGAACACCTGCAGGAGCACAAACTGAGCATGTGTTCATAGCTTCCTCTGAGTCTGTGAGGAAGAGTCACTTCCAGAGTGGGGACAAAATGTGAAAAAGAAAATGTCTTTCATGCTCCCATATCTGTGTTTGCTTTCAGCTAGGTTACATGCTGAAGTCCTTCCAGACTTTTAGATATGTATCAGGCTGTAATACATTGATGTCCTGATGAAGGCTCTGAAGCTGAAATTCTGTTTCATTTCAGTTTTGTGGATTGCACAGTAAGTGGTGGGAAATCTGAACATCTTATTGACAAGGATGTGCTTCTCATTTTGAAAATGCATTATCTGGGCTAAGGTGTTCTCCAGTCGTTTTTGAAACATAATGAAACACAATGTTTGCATCAACGCTCCCCTACGCTTCCATTTTTCACATGTTAGCAGGTGCTCTTATCCTGAGACACTTGCTCTGTTAACATGTTAACACATTACCCATTAACAGAGAGGGATTCACTTAACAGGAAGCAAAGTTAAGATATGCCTCAGACGAACGGAAAACACCAGAATAGTGTGTGCCTTTAAAAGGTGAGCTCGTACCAGAGGTCTGCAGAGAGGTATGGCAGCTCGTTTCCGTAAGCTCTGGCACACTCGCGTTTCGGCGACTGGTTTCCTGCACCGTTCACCGCGCCCTGCAAAGAGAGCGGCGCGTTTATCATCGCTCGGTTGAGCAGAATGGAACGGAACGGTGAGGGCGAGGGCGGGCGCGGTCAAAAGGGCCCCCGGGCAGCGGCTGGGGGGGGGGGGGGGGGGGACCACGCGCGTGGCTCGGGGAGAGGTGTTGTGGGTGCTGGTGCGTTCAGGCAGAAAACCTAAGCCCCTGTTGTGTATCGGCACAGCGGGGTGGGGGTGGGGGGGTGGGGGTTTTGAGAAATGTACAAGGCCGATAAGCCTGGTAAATACACCCCAGGGCTGAGCGCGCTCTGTGTCCCTCCCTGAAGGCAGGACTGAAATGATTTGATCCAGTAATGCCATGATTAGGACCGCACGCAGCCCTGTAATTACTCGGTGGCAACCGAGCATGACGCCAAGACTCGCTCTCTCTCCTTCCATCTCTTTTCCTCCCTTTCTCTTTTCCTTTACTTTCCCTCTCTCCTTCCCTGCCTCCCTCCTCCCGTTAGTCCAGGCTCGTGGGGGCACATAAGCCCATCTGCATTCTGCTTAGGCCCCGGAGAGTTCCACCCCAGAGCCGAAAACCTCACAGGCTGTTCATGGAGGAAGGGTTCAGGCTTCAGGCTTCACCGAACAGCACAGAGCACAGAAACGTGAGGCGCTACACCGAACAACACAGAGCACAGAAACGTGAGGCGCTACACCGAACAACACAGAGCACCGAAACGTGAGGCGCTATCATCGATGTTTGCTGCTCGGCGATAATGACCTGATTGATGACAGTCTTTAGATTTTCAATTAAGAGTCGATAAATTTGATCTATGGCTTAACAGGTTTGTAAGAGTCAGTTTATGGCTGAATGTAGTGGCTAAGTGTTGCAAAGTTTCTGCACCACAATTCTAATTATAGAAAAGACAAAGTGTTGTGTGAAATTGTTACTTGTAAATTATTTATGATTACAAATGTGTGACATGAAGTCATCATCAAGTGTTTGGGGACATATATATAAAACACCTTTTTAATTAGATCTAAAATGACGTTACAGTGGGTACACAACACAAAGCTAAGGAAATCTTATTAGACACAAATAGGTGAAACTTGACACTGGAAAAAACCTTCAGCATACAGTTTTCTTGCTCTGTCTACTTCTGGAAATATCAACATTGCTCATGCTCCTAACATAGAGATTCACGGAAATGGAAGTGAATATTTTGATATCTGGGTAAATATATTTTATAGTGATATTTTATTGTGATTGTTATACAATATAGACCAAACGACAGGCATTGGAAAGAATTGGTTCATACTTGTTAACATATCAAACACAAAAAAAAAAAAAAACACATCAAGACAAAATATCCCAAACAATCAGCGTTCAGGTTAATGAGAAGAAAAATCAGGGCATTTTCTCTCCCCCCTCTCAGCTCTCTCTCAGCTCACCTGCTGGTCCTGAAGCTGAAGCAGGAGCATGTGATGAATCCTCACCTATGTTTTTATGGGTTGCACACCTGTGCCACCTGCACAGGTACCTGTTACCCCCACTGTCAGTTTATTCAGGTACGGGCTTAAGCACAATGTATTGCGAATATATCGTGTTTTACACACACACACACACACACACACACACACATATATATATTTATATTTATATTTTGTGTACCTCCTTAAAGCTGTCCTGCATACTGCTCTCGGAATGACAGGCATAGACAGTTTTGCAGGTAGTACCAAGATATGGATGTAAGTATAAATTCATGTGACATATTGCAGTCACATTTGGAAAGACTATGCAATAAATATATTTATTAATGCATGTGATTCATTTATGTATCCTTTTGTAACGTGGGGGGTGCATTGAGTTTGAAATCTCTTATCGGCGGGGGGGGGGGGGGGGGGGGGCCAAAGGGGACCTAAGGTAAAGCATAGAATTAAAAAGGTCTGCAATTAAAAACGACATACATTAAAACGACATGGAGAGAAATACGCAGCGCTCTCTAAACAGGAATTAGAGCAGGGATCAAAAGGAGGGGCGTAGTTCAGCCCTGCTGCGTGAAATACGGATTTTAAATCAGCAGTGTGAATTAGCATGTATAGTTTATGATCCTTGCGAATAAATGCAAATTAATCTCTAAAACGGTGCCTACTCCTTGCGGCCATGGTCTTCATTCCGCAGCCAGTTCAGACCCAGAGCACAAGGTGAGTTGAGTTACCTTCGTAATACACGGTTTTAATGAGTCATTAGAAGCTGTGTACCAGCGGAAACCAGCATACACTGCAGCCCTGCAGGACCAAGGAAGGAGAAACATGGGCCTCAGGCTTCCATTTCCAGCCCCCTTAAGCCCCTGCTTATTCAGAGGCAGTAAACTCAATGGACCCTAACGTCTCTAACCGAATCAAGTCCAGGAGATAATTGACTGGTGAGCGTAAGCCCTCCCACATTGACCATTCACGTTGGATGTCCATTAGGTTAGCGTATGCTCGCGGTATTCTCCGTTGAGTGATCGGCGCGTTGCGGCGCTGGGCTGAGAGTGATTGGCGTATCTTTCCACGGATATGCATGCACCCCGATCTCCTCTGATTCCCGCGTCTGCAATGGTTTGTTTTTTCTTCTGCCCACACAGACAGGGGGATAAGAAGAAGCCATTAATTAATGCAGCGTTAATATTGACAGATACCAATACGGAACTCGCCAATAGAAGACAACTTTGGCCGGAGGCCTTCATTAAAGGAGAACCTAATTGACTGGGCCTCCCTCTCCCCCTCCCTCTCCTCTTCTCCTGAGCTGCAGATGAGGCTGGGAAAATGAGTTTCTCCACAAAGCAGCGCGCCGCAACGCTAATGCGATTCTCTAAGGTCTCGAGCAGCGCATGAAAGTGGTCGCCAAAGGGGCCAGGCAGAGAGCCTTTATCTGCATTCCTGATGTCTATATACAATTAACTGAGCCAGCCAAGCTAGCTCAAACACACACACACACACACACACACACACACATATAGAAACTGTCTCTCTCTCTCTCTCTCTCTCACACACACACACACTACACACAAGTGCACCACACACATAAATATGAAAACTGTCTCTCTCTCTCTCTCTCTCACACACACACACTACACACAAACATATACAGTAGAAACAGACATACACACATACTGTATATAATCATACATGCATATACAAACACACACAAACACATATACATAAAAAAACACACATGTTCATACTTAATAAAAAAAATGCATTTCCCACAAAAAAACCCAAACATGTTCATGCACACACGCACAAACACACACACGTACACGCATACACACACAATAATCTCAGATAGTTTAAAGTTTCCTGTTTCATTTTCCTGATACATCATTTTGTCAAGCATTTACAAAATAATCCCTACATGGAAAGTTGATTTCTTACTGACGGGACAAGAAAAGTTAATAATAATATGAGTGTGTGCATGCGCATCCCAAAAAAAAAAAAACAAAAACACTTACATAGGTGGACATAGTCTTATTCTATTGAGAAATAAAGGTAGTGTGGGCATAGTTTGTCTGAGGTTTCTCATCTCCCCGCTGTGTTAGCTCCGCCCCATGACTCACTGGATGCCCATTGGATCTCAGCTGCGCTCTGATAGGCTCATATGCCTTCCTTTCTTGGAATCCCTGCCATTGATTGGTGTGTCCTGCAGAGCTGTGCTACAGAAACCGGAGCAGCTTGCATGCTACAAACACAGCGCAGCTAGCGTCGGTGTGGGTGGCGTAGGAAAATATAGGAAAATGACAGGAAAATACAATAAGGCTCACTTCATCAGGCAACGCTACTGTGTTCCACTCCTCAGAAATCCATGCGCTAGTTTCAGTCAAATGCACTGCGTAGTTAATTCAAAACAGATTTTACATTGCAAAATCATTTTTTTTTCACTGTGTTAAGCAAAACACAAGCAAACTATGTTCTTTGACTGTGTTAAGACAAGCAAACAAACATGCTGTTTGGAACTTTCTCAATTAATTCCAAAATAAAATAGCATATTATGCTCTCAACAAAAAAGTCCAT